TAATAGGTGATGTGGAATTGCGAGTGTATATTACACACAAATTGTTATGTACCAAACATGTGAAGAATTCAATGGCTATAATTAATTTATCTAGGTGACATGTATGGTTTTAATGGATTTTGAGATTTACAGTAATAACTATATTAAGTGGGTTGTAAATGAACATGAGACATGAATGGTTGAGATCAAAGCATGAGAAAAATCCAAAGGCTAATATTTTCTTGATGATGTGACTTTATACATGTCAAACTTTTGACTTTATACATGTCAAATATTTAGATAATGGAAGAAACATTACAGCCTTTGCACCTCACGTTGGCGCAATCACATTACTAAATGAACCAAAATAAAGCCTCAAGTCGATATTTATTAACTTCAAATTTCTTAATTATTAGATCCTCAAAATTGCTAATATGCTATAACCGAGACTGCAAATGGAGTAAGATCGATGGGTACCTATTAATTCTATTTTTTTGAAAAATATTAAATTAATTAAGCAATATACTGAATATAAATTCCAATTATAAGTAAATTGGTACTTGTTGGGGGAAGGCCAGAGGAGATCCCCTAGCTAGCTGTCTCCGCTCTAACAGTAAGGATCCTCCGGAGAGGCCTGAGGCACTCCGTGGAGCCCGGTGTGAAGGCTGCGGGTCGTAAGGTATCACTTTTTTGCAGCATCAAGGGTGTGTTTGGTTGCAAGCCACACTTTGCCACAGTTTGCCACGCCTAAGGTTAGGCAAATTTGACAGGTGTTTGGTTGTAGCCACAGTCGTGGCAAGATTCCCCTCCAACAAATTGGGTCCCACGTGTCAATAGCTCAAAAAAGTGTGGCAAGATTCCCTTAGGCTTAGTAAGTTGTGGCTAACAATTTGATCACCTCACCTTAGGCAAGATGTGGCAACTTTTGTTGGCAAGTAATGGTAAAGTGTGGCTGGGAACCAAACAGCCCCCAAGTGCTTTCGATGCCAACCTCTCGAATGGCTTCTAGATGGATTGAGGACAAGGGAACTGAACCTCAAGGACTTCGGTTTAACTAGTAACAAAGATTGGAAGCATTCAATGCTCCCACCAACCGTCCGCCTCACTTCGAGGCCTTGAAGACCTCAAAAAGCTCAAGAATCCAGCTCAGGTTTCCTGGATAGTTAGTTGGCCCATCATCATGATGGACCTAGTTTAAACATCTAGTGCTTGTAATAGAGCGCCCTCAAGAGGGCCCCACCTGTCAGCTAGACAAGCTGCCCGAATGTCTTAAGGTAATAAGGTCATTGGTTAGAAGCAATAATGTAAATTTGGTAAGCCTAGAGTAATCATCGGCTTCGAAGTCCTGAGATTAGCCGATGAGAGTTATCAAGTCGTCAGTTGTCGGATTCTTGCTATATTCGATTAAGGAAATTGATCTACTAAAGGAATCTTATCCAGAAGAGACCGAGTTCAAAGAGTATGCGGCATAGCAAGTTATCTATTAATTAGGAATAGTTTGTTAGTTTCCTTTTATCTTTAGGAAAGTGTGTTTAGTGTCCTATAAGGATTTTATCTTTTCCTTTTTATCCTTAGTTTATTTCTTGTCCGACAAGGACTGGTATCTCCCTATGGGTATAAATATGTTCACCCGGGGTCATTGTAATCTATCAATCTCTCGATCAATAAAAACTACTCTCGGTGCATCGCCACCCTTTTTACCGAGGTTTTTACTTATCATCCGACGGAACTTGGCACCTAACGCGGGGCTGCATCGGCTTTCGATCTCCGGCAAAGGGGTAAGTCCTACGTTCCGCCGGCCCTGGTGAATCTGTTGGCTACATTGGTGTTGTTCAAGGCTGCATCGCTTCGATCTCTTGGATCGCTCTGGTTTGGTTGATATATTTGCCTACCTGATATCTCAATTCTATCTCTAATTACATTGTTTTTAGTGACGCATCGGTTTAGTTGGAACTGTCTCGGTTAGGTCCGATCTTCTGTCTTAACCGATATATCTCTACAATCATAATGTTGTTCTAAATAGATTTGTCATATCCATCACATTAGATAGATCTATCGGCTCATCGAGTATTAGATTATCATATACAATCTCGTGCTGCATCGGTTAGGTTCGACCTACCATATTGTTATTGATAATATGAATCTTGTAAAGCCGATAGGTTCATGCTAGTGTTTTATCGGGGTGCTAGCCGATAAGTTATCTGGACGTTGCATCGGCTTATAAGGATTACATACAAGTTGGGTTTAGCCGATCGCAACAAAGGTTTCACTATTTAATCTAATCTTGTGGATTTCATGACATCAGACCTCCAGCCGATGTACGCTTTAGCCGTCGGATCAGTGCTTATTCTATCATGTCATTGTTAGCCGATTGGTTTCTACTGGATTATATTGCTATATTATATTATCATCAGTCGATTGCCTTCATATCATTATATACATTTGACATATAGCCGATAACTCAAAACCCTATCGCTATCGGCTGATATCGATATCGGCTGGAATCGGCATTGGTTGGAACTACTCCATCGGCTTCTCAGCCGATCAGCAATTTGATCTACTGATATCTTGTCAGTTGCAGAATAACTGACTGGCACGCCCTCATCTCATCAACTTTTAGACCTGCACAGGAGCTAAGCAGACCTCCCAGGCCAATTAATGTGTGTTTTTCGGGTCAACAGTTATACCGTATAATGGAGTTTTCTGCTACCGAGAAGTCTCTTGGTTAGCTGCATCTTACACTACTCCTTTCCTCCACCCCAAATGTTTCTAACACTTTGTATTGTTGTTGGATTTTGTTCCAACAATACTTATTAATTCCAAAATTTAAAGTCACTAATTTTAAATTGCATAATTATTACTTCTATTAGTGAAAAACTATAGTTTAGACTCCAAACATTGTACTAATCGATATATCTTAATTCTGAATTGTCTAGTTATTAATTTCGAATTTCAATATTATTAAATTAACAAAATAAGTAGTGAAACAAATGAAATGTTAGCATAGATTATATATATAATTTTATGATTACTATTTTTTATTCTTGGATCTATTAATAAAATAAAATTATTTTCTTCTTGGTTAGAGGTGGATACTGGATAACAAGCTAGCTAGCTCGGCTCGCGTTAAGGCTCAGTTTAATTTAAGCTCGATATCTTAACGAGCCAGTTTCACTCGGCTCGTTGGCCTTAATAAACTAAAAGAGTAGCCCTCGTTAGGCTCGTTAACGAGCCATATCTTATTTATTTCACCTTTCTAATTTTAAATATTTCATTTTATCATATATTACATAACAATAAACATTAACTAAGAAAGAATTGTTGCTCAGCTCATTTTACGAACCAGCGAAAAGCTAAAACAAAGTTGCACGTAGGAACACAACCTTACTACATAGCCTATAGAGTATGACAGATTAAAAAAAAAAGAACAACTGACCTGATAAATCGCTAGCGCCATAAATGATAAATTTACTCCATCACGATTACTCCGTAGCCAACAAAATCTCTATGCTTGAGAATGACCGTAAAAGTAGATCACTGAAACTCTGAAAGCAAAGTGATGGCGAGGGTAATATAATGAAGTCGGCATACGACTATTCGCAGTGACCCCAGTAGCTAGCTCGGTGGATGAGTGATGAGTGAATGAATAAAAGAATATTGGACAGATCGATCGATCCATCCATCGATGCTGGGACGTTATGACGACGAACCGGTCGGTGTGCAGTGCTTCGATTGGTGAAGACCGTGTCAAGGCTATAGGTTGCCTGACGACCCGGCCGTCCAGCGGCCAACCACAGCAAAGTCAAACCTGGCCTTCAAAGGCTTCAGCTACAAACGAAAACCCTGCCCACCTGTAACAGTTGACAAACCGGCCTAGTTTTGGCTTTGAGCTTTGCTCTCCTGCAGCTGCATATATACACACATGTTTTGCCTGCCGAGGGACGAAACTCCATCAATCTCTTTCCTTGTGCCGGCTATATTTGCTCCTACTCCTGCATATTTTGACATGTTCAGAGAATGGTATATATATATATATATATATATATATATATATATATATATATATATATATATATATATATATATATATATATGGACTTTTTCCTTACATATATATATGGTTCTAGACTTTTAGTGGAGTTTGTTTTGAAAAAAATGATTAGTCGAGAGACAGAGTTCTAGTATGGATGCATCGTACACACTCACTATCCGGCCGCGGTCCAAGCCTCAAAGGCAAGGCCACAATTTTTTCTTCTTCTTTTACAGGATAGTAACTATACTACATGTCTCAAAACATAAGAGAAAACCACAAGGAAAAAAAAAAGAAACTCTTCTTAATTTGCCTCCAGTGCAAGCTTGGCCCGGCCATGCGTACATGTTTGCTTACTCAACATGTCTCAGTACACTCGTCCGTGCAGCCTGCAGCTAGCTAATCAAACTCACACTAGCTACCCAAAGATCTGGCAGAGTTAGCTAGCTTTGATTGGGACTGCAGTGAGAAAGGATCGATTTAGGTAAGTTGACATGAAAACATTACACATTTACACGGTGAGAAAGGATCGATGAGATGTTATAACTAGTTATATATGCCATAAAAATTTTAAAACCTTTTACAACAAAAAAAAACCATTGTGATCAAATTAGACCATCAGTATAATTCCCGGCCCATGAGTTCTATTAAGGCTGTTTATTTTTTCAGTCGTTAGAAAGTGTATATATACCTATAAGATGATATATATGATGTACAAATTCTCTTAATATCAATTTATTGTAGGTTCCTCCAAAAAAATTATGGGAAAAGATATACGTACTATACTGTTTGTACTAACTTTGTACAAGTTAATGCTATTGGGTCATGTTGCAATTAATTCTTGACTTTTTAGAACTTCCAGTTGATTTAATCAAGCGGTTGAGATTTTTCATCAGTAAAAAGTTTGTAAGAAATTTTTAGTATATGTAGAGCGCTATAGACGCACACACTCTGCATCTATATATTGTCATGTATCCCTGTATAATTTCGTTACACAATTCTTGTCATTTGGCACGCACCTAGCTTAGCTTATCCATTCAACGTGTGGCTCACAAGCGCCTCCAGCTCTGATCTTTTTTCTTTTCGTATTCTTGAACTCCACCAGGAAGAGGGGACCAAATATCAGCTCACAGACAGAGAACAAGTTGCTTCCGACAAGAGATTGTCCTACAATATCTGTATCTATATGCAGGTATACTATCGGGATCTTTTCCTTCAAATCTCGTGGTGCATCGCTAGCTCTCTGTAGCCATCCAAGTGTTGCTGATGATTCATTGATCTCCAACCCATACTGCCCATTTATAATTTTCATTATTATTCATTAATTTCATCATGCTGGCGATCGTCATCCATGAGTTGTTTCAACCACAAATAAATAAAAGATATACATGCATTAAAAAAACGAGCGACTATATATATGAATAGTCAATCTTGTGTGTATTTAATTCTGTAGAAGGTGACTATAATTAATTAATCCAAATTTCAAAATATAAAAAGGATAGTTTGTGCCGACGGTTTTGTTTATTCCGACTTGCATGAGCTCTTGCTGGGAAATTTATGCAAAATTGTATAGTAATGTTCTATGTGGTCTTTGAGATTTTCTTATGAAATAGCTTTTCAAGTTTACACATGCTAAACATGTCATGATCAAGCTCTATATTTCTAGCTATAGTTTAGTTTAAAAATACTGAGAGATGGTGAACCCTCAATCTCGTACTAGTTAGATCTCTGTAGGCACACAATTTAGATCTTTGCATTCATAAGGAGTACTAGAAAAACAATTCTGTGCGTCACCTGAAAGGCACAAGAAATTGAACTTTTGCAAATTTACGCAGTAAAACTACAGTATAGCAGAAAGTCAGCAGAAAGATCTGGTAGATGACAGACACATATTAGAGGTGCAAGTACAAGGATTAATTAGAAAATTATGCACCTAGCATATGCACTATATGCAGAAAGATTTGGTAGATGACATATGCTATAAGCTGAACAAGAAATTGACACCACCTATATATATGCAAGGAGATGAAGAAAGAGCTCATCATGAAGATCCAAATCTGGAAATTAATCTTTATAATAACGAATTCTATGCATATATATTACAGCCACAACAATGAACTACAACTTTCCCTTGGCCAACAAAACTGATCACTTGCCTAGCTAGCTAGCTATCCCCCTATCTTCATCTCTCCATGGCCTCTAACTTGATGAACCTGCAGTTGTCGGCTTCTCGCCCCAGCTCCTTTTTCTTTCCCCACATCTTCTTGAGTTGTGTAAATTCAACTTAACAATCCCAACTCGAACAACACAAGAACATATGCATAGTCGATCTTGTAGATGAGCAAGCAGTATCGACGATGAAGATCGATACATATATACATATATGTATATATATAATCAAGATCCACACATGAATATGGACATGTACATATATATACTTTTTTGTCTTCTTGGCTTGGCTATCATCAGCTGTAGTCACCGCCTCGTCCCGGCGCTGACGACGGCGGCGGGTTGTGGTGGTGGTGGTGGCCGCGGGCGATGAGGCGGGCGGGGAGCGGCCTGCCGGTGCCGGAGCCGCCGCAGCTGCGGCAGGGCATCCGGCCGGAGCCGGCGCAGGTGCGGCAGCCGGAGTCGCCGTCGGACCAGCGGTTGCAGAGGCAGTCGACGCGGCCGCTGCCGCCGCACGTGGCGCACCGTGGCCGCGCGTCCCACCTCGACGCCGCCGGCAGCTGCCGCCCGTCGCCGCCGCCGCCCATGGTCCGGTTCGCCATGGCCACCCCCGCCAGCATCCCCAGCCCCGCCGACGCTATCACGATCGGCCCAACCATCGTACTAGTGTCCACGAACTAGGAGGAGGAAGGGGAGGAAGCTAGGAAGAAGAAGAGGAGTTGTTTGTATGCGTTTTCTTGGCGTATATAGTGGGTAGGGAGGAAAAGATTTGGGGGGTGGTTTGTTTGGCGGGGAAGAGGCGGGCGAGCGTGTGTAGGAGAGGGAGGCGACGTGCGTGCGTGCGCGCGCGCGACGGCGTGCGAGCGATGGAGGAGGGAGTACTTGGTTTTTTACGGTTTTTTGTGGGCGAGGGAGCGCCGGCGCGTCTCGGGTTTATAGGATTTTTTTTTTCTCTCTTCCGCGCGCGTGTGAAGGAGGATATATGGGTTGCGTGGCGCGCGGCGCGACGGCAGCAGTAAGCTAGCGGTGGGTGGTAGGAGAGATCGAGTTTTTGGAGGGTAGCGAGGCGGGGAAGGCGTGTCCGCCTTGTTACCTCTGGCTTGCGGAGTTGGTTACTCTTTGGTGAGAGTTGTGTACGGCTGGAGAGCCGTGTTTCTGCTTTATACATGCACGCACCTGGCTATACCTTGTTAGCTTAGCTGCCGGGGATTTTGGCATATATGGCCACCGGCCGGGGACGAAGGTTCGGTTCGATCTCTAGTGATTTAGAACCCTAGTTTTTCTACTGTGTGAAAATATATTTGTCGCGATGGTATTTGTTGCAAGTGTACTATTAGTTTGATCGTGCCAAACACGTATTCACTGCTCTTTTGGTTATCGTTCGGATTAACATACAGATTTTACCTCAATATTTTATTAGGATATTTTTTAAACTGCTAAATATATACTAGTATATTACGTGCGAAAATTTTTTATATAAAATTTGATTATTTTTTGAACTTATAATAATTAAAACTCAAATAATCATGCACTGATAGTTTATTTTTCGTGCTTTAACTATATCTTAAAATACCACCTATATATAATTATCTTTTCAATTTTAGTTTTACTCTCTTGCAAAACGATATAACTGTTGCCATGTAGTATAAAGTTTGTTATTCGTGCCACATTTTAGTTAACTACAGCTTTGTTTTAATTAGCTGGTTTTCAATTATGCATCTATCAGCAATATATCTCGTATACTAAGTTTTTTTTGGATTATTGAGAAACGGATTATTTGCTCCACACTTAGAAAATATATTTTCTCAACAAACTTTTTGCTATTATATTGTTTAGACTAATTGTTTTAAGTTATTACATATTAAATTTATTTCTTAAAACATTTAATTTATCTCTCTAATCAAGTTGACAATCCATATATATTTTGTTCAATTATCTGCTCTATATTGAGCTAAGTCCCATTATTAATTAGAGATGAAGGTAGCGTACCTGTGCGTACGCTCAATCAGAAACTGAAATCAAAAAGAGCATTTTGGGAGTAAATTATATATATGATCCGTATTAGTAGTAACCTAAACTATATATATCATTTTCACTAAGTAGGAGATGCATTTTTTTGTAAGATATATAATGAAAATGGAATGACAACCCAAGGCTCCAAAACCTCCGTTGTTAATTATATAGGTCCCAGCCAATTAAGGAGACCCATGCACATGCACGCATAAAGCAGCCAACATTTCATATATACTCCACAGCATAACGTACGTCCTTGTCCCTGCTTTTTTCACAATTGCTGTATTTGATCTTGATCCACACTCGATTGACTGGGCCAATGCCCAATGGCCAATGCCAATTTAGGCTTAATTAATTATGAAAAGGAGATTACCCAACTATATATACATAGCTATTAGATGTGTTTTGCCTCTTTTTAGAATTAATTTGCTTTGCGACCATGTGCGCGACAAAGACACAGGTTTATTATTGACATTAATATGTTGCTTTCGATGCAGGTCATCGTATGCCGTCACAATTACTTTGGGCTAATCTCTACCAGTTTTGGCCTTCGGCTTTATTTATACATATCTGTTATATATCATGGATAATCTAAACAACTAGATGGTCGAGGCGTTGATCTAGAATTATAATATGCAAGATATGTTTGAAATGTTTTCCTGTGATTTGGATAGTAGGTAGGTGTTGCCCCTTCTATGAGTAGTTTATTTTCCGAGGGAAGCAGGAATTTCCATGTCATGGTGTCACCTACTCTTTTATGGCTTGTAATTTAGCAAATTTTAGACGTATGCTAAAAGTAGAGAGCAGAGATGTAATGTAGTGCAATCTGTGCTTTAATAAAATCCCTTAATTATATTTGAAAAACTTTGAGGTTCCAAATATACGGGAAGTATTTACATTTAACCAATAATAATGGTGATCCAACCCTAGCTGCCCCACCGGCCCCTGGCTAGAGTTTTCCTTACCATCGGTCTCACCCTGCCCTAGCTAGAGTTTCTCTTACCATCATTTACCGTGATAACTGACGTTACCACCGTGGTATGATAATGGCAATGATTCTTTAACCCCCCCCCCCCCATCAAGCTCAAAAGAAATGAGACAAAAATTTAACTTTGTGTTCAATTTCATCTGATTTTTCTCACTATTCACTTGTGTAACTTTCTTTCCCTGGTAAGTTAAACCCTGCTCCCCAACGAACTCTTCGTGAGATGGGCTAGCTACAGCGGAGAATGACATCACATACCAAACTTGACGCAAGAATACTGAGATTATGGGGCTGTTTAGTTCCCAAAAATTTTTCCCAAAAACATCACATCGAATCTTTGGACATATGTATAGAGTATTAAATATAGATAAAAAGAAAAAACTAATTGCATAGTTTGCATGTAAATCGCAAGACGAATCTTTTGAGCCTAATTAGTCCATGATTAGCCATAATTAGTCTATGATTAGTCCATGATGTGCTAATGACAGATTAATTAGGCTCAAAAGATTTGTCTCGCGGTTTCCAGGCGAGTTATGAAATTAGTTTTTTCATTCGTGTCCAAAAACCCCTTCCGACATCCGGTCAAACATCCGATGTGACACTGAAAAATTTTCATTTCTCTTACCATCAAAAATTTTCATTTTCAAAAATTTTAATAGCAGCTGCGCCGTTGAGAACTCGAAACAGTGTCGGTGCTAGGTATAGTCAACACGATTTAGGCTTCGTTCGTTCCTGGGCGATCCAGGGGACTGAGAGAGAAAAGTATCTCGTTTTCCGTGCGCACGTTTCCCAAACTACTAAACGGTGCGTTTTTTACAAAAAAAATTCTATAGGAAAGTTGCTTTAAAAAATCATATTAATCCATTTTTGAAGTTTAAAATAGTTAATACTCAATTAATCATGTGCTAATGGCTCACATCGTTTTGCGTATCTTCCCAATCTCTCCAATCCCCTTCTCCTCAAAGACACCCTTAATGTTTCCAGTGATGTTATTGACATCTTTTTTCGTGGGATTGATGGATTTTTTTTTTTACTTTTGTTTTTCTTGGCAACCTTCTTGCTCTGCATTGTAGCCAATGTTCCTCTCTTCTCTTGCAGTAATGTAATGCCGTGCGAATTAAGATTTAATTTGTATGTTTAAAATAAAAAAAATCTAGGTGATGTGAAGGAAGTGTGTGCACGTAGCTAAAGACTAGTTGTAACTATCCACGATGTTTCCTCCAAGAAAATTTCTAACTGTCAAAATCAATCCATAAGTTAAATGAAACCATTTTAATTTAATTTGTGGAAAATCCAATTTTATCTTGGCTACTCTAGTACATCAACAAATCTTGGCTAGATTAGCATTTGCTGTCGACATGAGTCTATCTATTGGCTGTGTGGTGGCGACAACCATGTACATGCATTTAATCTATAATAGATGTCCACTGTGGACAAACCTTCTTTACTCCCGGTTGGTAACCCCTTTTAGTCCCGGGTTTCCAACCGGGAGTAGTAATCCGGGACTAAATATGGGTATCTTTAGTCCCGGTTGATAACAACAACCGTTATTAAAGAGAGACAGTCCAGATGGTCCCCTTTTCTTTTTTTTTTCTTTTTTATTTTCTCCTGAATTGAGTGGCATGCACATACCCAAATCAAACCCTAAAACCCCAAATCAAATAACATCCTAACTCTACATCACAAATCTTGAAGTTATTCATACACACAAATTAAATACATCATAAATCCTAAAAAATACAAAACAAATCAAATACATCACACATTATACATCTTAGATCCATACAAATGTCCAATGAATCACAGAATTATACATCTCAATAATCACATATTATAAAAAAAAATGGCCGCTCGCTGCTGCCGGCCGCCGGCCGCCTGCCCGCCGCCGCCGCGCGCGGCCCCCCGCCACAGGCCGCCGCCGGCCTTGCTCGGCGCCGCCCGGCACGACCGCCGCGCGTGGCCCCTCGGCCACAGGCCGCCGCCGGCCCTGCTCAGCGCCGCCCGGCACGGCCGCCGCCGGCCGTCTGCCGGCTGCCGGATGGGAGGGGAGGAGGGGAGTAGAGGGGAGAAGGAGGAAGGGGAGAATGGGGAGGAGAGGGAAGGGGAGGAGGAGGAGGCTTGGATCTTAGGGGAGTTGGAGAGGGATGATCTTATCTCTAAATATTTAGTCTGGGACTTAACCGATCAGAGATGAGAGAAAAATATTTGCTCCTGGTTAGTAACTTCAACCGGGACTAAAGATTAGATCTTTAGTCCTTAATCTTTAGTCCCGGTTTATAGTACCAACCGTGACTAATGATCTAAATGATCTTTACTCCAGATCAAAATTTTTATAACCGGGATTAAAAATAATTTTTAGTCCCGGTTTTTACTAGATCTGTGACTATTGTGGAAATCAGTCGACCGAGTAAAGATCATTTCTCCAGTAGTGGTCCTAATGATCACTCAGCTTTCATCGAGAAAATAACGTGTAAAAAATTGTCAAGATAACCCAAAGGCGTACAATAGTGTTGCCGTGGTCAAGGTCGACCAGCGGCAAAACTACCTACTATCTCTGCCCTAAAACGATTTTATTTTTATATATCTCACATATACCAACATAAAACTAAAAGGCTAAAAATTTATTTACTTTTTCAAACTTAAATGCATTTATCCCTTACATTTCTAAACTCTACTAATGTATTTGTAGCTTCAATATATATATTAACTGTCTTAGAAAATAAAGTTCTTAAAGTCTTTGTGAGATGAAAGGAGTAGGCACTAATAACTGACTCTCAGCCTCACCTGACAGAGAGGCCGAGTGGACTGGTAAGCTGCAGAAAATTGATTTATTAAATAAGTCCACGTGCTTGTTTTAATGACTTGGATCGATCGATCATTTTCCTGGGTCAAAATCAAAATTCTAATAATATACTTTATTCGATGCTGGCCGAGTTTGACTTTGCTCAATTAATTAATTAATCTCTAGACAGCTCTTCTCTTCTTCGACAGTTCGACCCGTTCTGTTCTGTCTGATACTGACACAAATAATTTCTTCTTTTTTTTGAGAAAAAATAATTTCTTCTCTCTTTCTCTTTCTCTTTCTGTTCTAAAACAACAGATTTAGAAAGGAGAGGCATGATGAGGACACAACTAGCTCGGATCTAACCATGACGACATTATGTATTAATCAACTAAAGGTGCATATGTTCTATAATAGATTTACTTGTTATATATTTGAACAAACGTTGCTACACAATGAGTTTCGTGTGTTTTTGTTTGCAGAGGTACTTTCTTGGGCGAAAGAAAAGAGACCGAGCGTAAGGAATACATGGATGATTGAAGAAGTTGATTGGGGACTAAACCAAGACCTTCTCCAAGTCTTCTTTTATCTCACCACGCCACTTTTGGTCCATAGATGACAAGAGATAAAGTTCTACACGTTTTGGATTCAGATTTGGGCCTCCTGACAGCATCAACTTCAAACAGACCTAGCCGCTGATCTAGAAGGAATTTTGTAGCCACCAGGTAACTAAAACAATAACATGCAAAGGAGAAGATACTATTATGTTATAAAGAAACCCCTTATTCCTACTTAGCCAAATAGATCAACAAATAGTTGTTGTATCTATCAAAAACAGATTTTCTCATCTCTTTGGAAACACATAAAAACCAATTCTTAAACATATGAGTAACATTACAAGGAGGTTGTAAATTAGAAACCATATGAATGATATGTAGAATTATGTGATGATTTAATCGTGGTGATGAACAATTATCACATGTAAATGTTTATGAAAACACGGTGATGTGTTTTTGGACGGTAAACAATGCGGTGGTCGTCACTATTGCCGGTTAGACCGGGTGGTGCATGTCGGTCAGACCGGAGGTGTCTGGGCAGTCTGACCAGGTTGCTTGATGGTCAGGCCGACAGGCTCTAGGTGGGAGTCGGTTTCGGGTTGTTTTCGTGGGATTTCTAGATTGCTTCATGTTTATAATTTCTAAATGGTTTCTATTTGCATGTGATATTATTGTGTACTGATGTGAGTTAAGTTGGTGCGAACTTGTACTCAAATATAGAGTTTCTTTGTTGTTCATATGCAGGTGTTGCTTGAGGCCATGGAAATATAGCCAGTGATAGATCGGGACTAGGCTTGGGGGAATTTGAAGTCCAGATGGTAAAGGATATCACATGGGATGCTCAGGTTAGAGAACAATGCATGTCGATGTGAAAGTTTCCATATGGCATACACGTGGGTGTTGTCTGCATATGGAAAGCAGAGTTAAATTTGGATTAAAATACATGTTTGGAAAGATTAGAGTTTGTAAAGTTTGTTTCTTATATGGGAAGGTTTCCTAGGGGATTAGGACTTCTTGTATGAGTTGGATTCATGGCTAGGGGCAGCCACATTATGGGTATAAATAGATAAGGGGTTGAGGCTAGAAGATATCGACTTTTTGGGAGAGAAAAGTTAGGGTTTGCTTCGAGGTTTCAATCCTAGCTCGTGAGTTGAGAAGGGGGTGCTTTAGATGCACTTTGTAAACACATTGATGCAATAAAGTTGATTTATTTTCAAGAGTTTTATTGGTACGTGTTTTTCTAGATCCCGACAGTTTGACCAGTGTACTACTGGTGGTCTAACCGGCGAAACGGCGGTGGTCTAACCGACAGCAAGCAAGCGCTCAGACCGGCGACGGCGAGCAGCAGAAGGCGAGGAAGCGGTGGTCCGACCGGTCGGACAATACCGATCAGACCGGGGGCGTAGAGGCGGTCAGACCGATGTGTACACGGTGGTCAAACCGACTACGTCAAGATCTCCATCAACTACGAGGGTTACTTTTATTTTCGCTACAAGTTTTTGGTTTTTTGTGTTCCTACTATTCACCCCATGGTAGATTT